GGAGTTTTATCTTTTTGATAAATAGAGTGTATGTGAGTGTGTGTGAGTGAAAGCGTATATAGGAGTGGGTATATCTGTTGGTGCTTTTTAATGAAGTGCAGAACATGATTTGATTCTGAAATAAAATATAACATGATGTGGATTATATTGTCCGTCATAAAATGTGTATACATGTAACAATATATTAAAAAGAAAAAGAGTTATGCTGATCTTTCTCATTATGAATGAGTTAATCATTATTGTTGAGTGTGTTGATGTCAAATATTGAGTGAACAATTAAAAAAAAATGATGTTGCAGTGTTGTTCAGTAGTTGTCTGTTGAGGTGTGTTGCTGATGTCATGGCACGCATTGTATGGATGATGGCAATGATGATGATAGTGATGGCTATGAGGAACGGATAGTTTGAATGTTAATGATTAGGATGCTGGTGAGATAGTGATGCTGATGTTGATGATGATGATGATGATGATGATTGTGAGGATGATGATGATAATGGTGATGATAATGGTGATGATGATGATGATAATTCTGAGGATGATGATGATGATGATTGTGAGGATGATGCTGATGCTGATGATGGTGATGGTGATGAGGAAGATGATAATGGCGATGATAATGGTGATGATGATGATGATGACGACGACAATCAGGATGATCTTGATGATGCTTCTGAGGAACATGATGATGATGATGATGATGATGATGATGATGATGATGATGATGATGATGATAATGATGATGATGATGAGTGAATTAAGTGTCAAAATGCATGTTAATAAGAGAGTGTGAAAATGAAAATACCTGTTTTGTATCTATATTAGGCCAAACAAAATATATAGTCTGTTTAGGGTTGCATGGGGGAAAAAACAAGAGTAGGTAGGTCGGATTTTTTTTTTTTTTTAATATTTTTATGTACCTTGTAGTCATTTGATTATGACCCTACTATTGTATGTAAAACAAAGATTTATAAAAACAAGGCTCATTTGGAGGCAAATTGTGCTCCATATGATGACATTTAGAGCCAACACGGAGCTGGAAGCCATTTTGAAAGGTAAGGAACCTCTAAAAATTCGAAAATCAGCGTGTTTTTTTTTTTTTTTTTTTATTCATCAAAAAGTTTTGGGTCGGGGGTAAAAAGCAAGGGTCGGTCGGGAACCCAAAATAGACATCTTTTTTTTTAGGCCTTATGAAAAATCGTTGGAAAAATAAAATGATAAAAAAAACACCATCAGGAATTCCCAAAGGAATGACAACCGGTAAATTTACACATTTGATTTAAAAAAAGAAAAAACAGCTTTCTTGCCGCTTTTCCATTAAATTGTGTTTCTTCACAACAAAAAGCCTTGGCAATGGGTCTTGATATTTGGCAAGTAGGTTGTTCATGTGAATAGTAATACGTTTTGTAAACGTTGGTGAACCTGACCTTCGTTGGAGGCCACACGGATCAATTCAAAATTTTGTATGGGAAACAGGCATCTTCATTGCTTTATTTATTTCGAGTTAAAGATAAAAAATAATGTAATACTCCTTCATATTTTATTATATGAATGCATAAGGACAACATAAAATAATAATGAAATGAATGTTAGTTTTATATACATGTATCTGCATATCTTAGTCTGTAATAAAATCTTAAAACAATCTCAAAGGAGGCCACACTTTTACGCCAATATTTTTAACTGCCGCAGACAGAGGAGGAATTCTTTTATTGGTAAGTACTGTAAACACTGTGAAAAGAAGAGGAGGAAGAGAAAGAAGAGGACGAAAGAAGAGTTTATCTTCTCGATTTTCATTTATCGAAATAGAAAAAACAACATCAAACAGATTACACAATAATAATAGATTCTATAACAAATAAATATTACAATGCATATTTTTATATATATTTAAGGCCAACACATTAAAAATATGTTTAAAAATGAGCAATTTAAAAAAAAATGTTTTGATAACTATTTTGACGATAAAACAATGTCTATGCCGGCCACCGTTGCGTTTTTCTTTTCAATGTATTCGAGTTGTCTTTCTTTAAACACTGAATCAAAGTCGCCGCCCGAAACATAACAGGTTTTTGTTTTTAATTAAATTATCAGTAGCTACTTTTTCGTTTCCATGAGTAGATTATACACATGTTAATCTCAAACCTCTGTCATTTAAACAGTTTTCTACCGATTTGATAGGAAATTGCAGCTGCTTCTTAAGAACGATGAAACCAATAACACGTGATTGTATGTTGACAACGGGACTACAGAACAAAATCATACAGGGCTGGGTCCTGGAATTTGGACTTTTTGAAAAATTGGGTCGAGGGATGTCGATGGGGATCTAGTTTGGTTGAACTAATGTCTGTTCATTCTTTGCGATGGCTCAAGGTCCCTCTCGATTCGTCTCCGTGAGCACTACATGGGACAAACAATAATGAATAAATGATGTCGAATCCAAGTAATATCACGTCCTCGAAGTTATTAAGGGTAGTGGACATGAAACCATGAAGACCAACCCTCATATCAAAAAGAAAATAGAATATTTCCCAACCAGATAATGATGAAAACCATGAAAATCGCCCCATCGATTTGAAGTGCAAGAGGCAATAATTGTGGTCAATTTCTATTACATCATCAATATATCGGAATTTGCCATTGAAGGATTTTACAAGTATTTTACTACCAGTCATAAAAAGCGCTTTAATTAAACGTCACATCAAAATCAAGTTTGTCAGAAGGGTGCACAGTTTGTTACACAGGAATGCCTGTAGTCTGCTGGAAAATCTCATGCTTCTAAAGGTCATATAACAGAAATAATCAGGCATAAACCGAAACAGCTTCAGAGGAATTAACAGTAAAACCAACGCAGTTCGTAACTTAAGAATTAAATGTACCAGATATTGATTTTGGCAACAACCTTATAACAGATAGTCATGTACCAAAGAGAGCTCATCGAGCCTATATGCAACTGTCAGCTGACCTATCAAGACATCAAGGGTTAGATAGACCGACACACAATGAAAACGTTTTAAATGTTCTATTCACCATCCACATGGATAGATACATGTAAAAAAAACCCACCATAGGTAACAGCTAAACATTTGAGTGTAAGAAGTGCCTAGATCAGTAAGTTTTTAAGTAGTGTGTCAGGAAGGCTTCATGGATTTTTATCCTCCGAAAGTAACATCGGGGATCACTCACGGAGTCGAGGAAAGCATGTAATGCAATATAGCCATGCCAGAGAAAGCAGCATCAGTATGGGAACCATACCCATAAGAATGGAATTCTACACCTTTGTCATCTATTTGAAACAGTTCCAGCGACGTGTTGTCTGCAACCAATAGTATATGACGACTCTAGGATATGTGACAGAGTGATGTAAAGACTGTCTTGTGAATCTCTAGAACAAACAAGATCAAACTAATCATGTGCCACAAAATCGTTCACCAACTACTAGTCTAGTATAACAGACATCACTATGAGGCAAGCGATAGAGGAACAAGAAGATAGCAAAAACTACGACAGAGGAGATTGAAGATGAAAGTCTATCAGTATTCCATCTTTCCCAGATCCCGTGATAATGAAACTATCTCTCAGATGAGGTAGCAATATCAGCAACATCAAAGACTTTTGAGGAGTTGATGACCGAGCTCAACTTAGGCCTAAGCCTGACTGCCCCTCATCTGGTAGACAAACCAACCTCCGATCATGTTAATACGTTAAAAATGCACAATCTTTTTTAGATTTAAGGTAAGTCTCATTTTGTCTATCACGAGGTGTGCTGATTACATTCCAGTATGACGTCAGAGCCCAAATGGATGAAGATGGTTAACTTTGAGATACTTATGCTACTTTCATTTGTGACAAGAGGCGCAAACGCAACCCTTTGTGAAACAACATTACATTTTTTTTCATTTTTTTTTATTTATAGGCAGTGAGTCATACCCTAATGCTTTTTGTAACAAAGTTACATAGACTATTCTTATGTGTTGTTGAAAGGAAGTATGTAGACTATTTTGGCGTCTTTGATGTTGAACTTCCTTCAATTGACCTGAAGTTTACTAAAGTGATTACATTGTATTTGTATTGTATTAAATGTTTGCGCCTGTGAAACGTCATTAATTATTTGACCGATTGTTCTTGGATCAACGTAATTTGACGATTATAAAGATTTGTAGTCTTCGTCGTTTTTCTTACTTGCACTGTCAACATTTTATTTGCCTGTGACTTCTCCATTGTCTTAAGCTTACCTAGCCGAAAATACCGGTGATCGTATTCATGATGCGATTGCGGAGCGTCCATAGTCCGTCCGGCGCCAACCTTTCTCTTCTATTCTTCAACGGCTTCTTATATCCATAAGCCCAAGGGTCATGTCATTTGATAACATATGCCACGTGGATAGTGCTAGTGTCTGTTGCGAATTCGTCTGATTGTATAATATATATTCTTTGTATTTAAGCATGTTCATATAACCGATCAGAATAGTACTAGTACCCCGATGCTAGATAGTGACATTCATAGTGTATTCATTATTTAATCTTGCTGTATGCTTCACAGACAGGCAATGCTACACTATTACCAATGATACTGACCTAGTACCAAGGAAGCCTCTCTAACTCATACAGAACATTTTAATGAAAATATAAGTTGGATACAAGACTCCTTATATTTTACTGAGACTGATGTATGTAACTACTTATATTATAACTCATATATGTATGTTTATATATCACACTGCCGACTTCATATACATATTTAAAAATGAAAAAAAATTATGTTCACTTATAGTTAAAATCTACCACTGACTCTGTTGCATATATTTTTTACGAGAATGAACACCTATAGTTGAAAAAATAATATCCAATTGGCAATGAACTATATATATATGATTCATGTGGTTCATATTAATTATATAAGATATAATTATATAATATCAAAACATTATTCTTTTTCAATTGCAATTTAAAATATTTGTGTCTATCATTGCATATTCCAATATGTCAAATATTCAATCTTAGGAATTTTTCGAAAGAAAGAAAATCACAAAGACTGGAAGCCGACACACATTGACTTCGTCCAGCAGAAAGCATAGTGAAGATCTAAAGGCGATTCATACTGTCTCAAATATGCATTCGGATACATTTACATGTAAGTAAACGTGTTATTTTTTTCCCACTGAATATTTTACTTTTTACTTTTAAGGTTATGACAATGATATACATATATAACTAATGGATGTGACATGAGATGACTGGTTTGTCTGTATGTCAAGTGAAACCAATTATATATTGATATTTTCTCTTGCATAATAGCCTTATTTCTATCCTGTTCAAGATATCAAAATTGTAAACTGTGGTTTGATGCTTCTTGTACATGTAATGTTAAATATTTAGAGGTTATTATATGACCATTTTGATATCATATCCCTTATCAGCCCGAGAGTCCCGATATCAGCCCGAGGGCTGATAAAGGATATGATATCAAAATGGTCATATTATAAACTTTTTATCATATGTTCAAGTAACCAAAAATCAAGTCAACAGGAAAAACAATTAGATAATTTAATCAACAATGTCGACTGAAACAAATTATTACAAGATGATATTCAGTCAATTCTGAATAAATATCGTTTCAAATCGCTGCTGTCAGTAATTATTAGTCCGACTTCTACTATAGTATTCATTGCAGTTGAAACGCCATGATTTATTCACTATCCGAGTCCGTTATGACATTCACTCTCCTTTTCTTTAAAGGAATAGGCCCAGGGTTAAAATTTATTGTGAATGAACCGTCGTGAATTTGTGCATCAGTAAACAGACTGTGGGTTGACGATAAGCATGAATTTTGCTGTGTTTTTGTTGACGTCTGCTCAACACACTGTCTAAGCAAAAAACCAACTGACAGCGCAAATCCGGATTTTACTCGGAACGCTTCGGGCGATTCCCATATCCAATACAGAAGCATTCGGAATACCCTTTCGTCATTTTCTACGAAAACTAAGTCTCGTTCAACCAGACTCTTGCTGCCTGCGCAAGCTACGCCGAATTAGAAGTGATCAAGCGTCTGGTTAAACGAGACTAACGAAACCTATGCTAGGTAGCAAAGGCGAGGTGTGCCGAATGATACAGAAGTAGAGGTGTTCCGAACAGGGGGTGCATTACGAGAATTGTTATCGCATGAAACTTATCACACGGGTGACCGGAAGTGGTATCAGGAGTCGTCAGAAGTTATCAAATATGCAAAAACACTCATATTCTGAGTAAACATATGATAATATAGAATTATTAAATACTCATTTATATATAAAAAGTAATGAATAATGACTGAGTAATGAAAACGACACTGGAAAACAGGTACTTGGTATATAAACCACAGTGTCAACACTTAGTTTATTAATTTATAACATTTATAACTATATTATTTTAGTTCAGCAGCCACGTCGCCCCCTGAAGATGCTTGATCTTGACAAGTTTAGGTCCAAAAGTTCAATACTCCCTGGCAACATTGACTTAGGACCATCTTCACCGATTAAAAACCCTTCAAAGTTGCAACTTTTGGAAGCAAGTCATCACAAGCAGTGCGTATTTAAAATAAAACAATGCATTATTTGATCATCAATAATCAGGCACCGCTTATTTACTTGTAGTGGAGATTCGCTTCTTACTTTTGAGAACAATTGATTTAACATTAAAAATTGAGAACAAAAATTCTAGATAAGAAATGAAGAAATCTGAATTTAACAAAGGAGTATTTCGTTGTGAACACAAGATTGTGTTTATTTCGGGTAATTGCTTTTAACCTGTTTGATTTACAGAGTAGCCAGAAAAGTAGATAGGTCGCCATTTGATGATGATTTCTTTTACCCCAAATCCAGTCAGAAATACTCAATGTCAAGCTCTAATGATGACGATGATCACACTTTACAGATATCACAACTTCTGAGCAGCCAAAAACAATTCAAGGTAAATATCAATTATCATAATTATGCTTCTTTCAATTTCTAGATATAAAACTGAATCTGGTGCGCCGGAGGAAGTTGATCAAGCTTAATGTGAACAGGATAAGTAATTTACAACATTTTTATTTTACTTATCGTACATTATTCATATTATTATACAATGTATTCAAGTTTAAACGTCTACATGTTCTATACTGTTTCATTGTGGAAATATTCAGCTTTTTTTAAACACATTCAACACTTTTGTGAAAAAGCCATGCATTTCTTTTTGAAGATACCTGACATACCTAGCAGGACACGCACACCTAGCAGTGCAGTTGAGCTGACTGACGACAAAAGAAAAGTATGGAACAGGAAATTAACTGATGAAATGTTCAAACACTCTAGCTTGCCTACGAAAAAACACAAAAGTACATTTGAACCATATAATCAAAGTTATCGTAGCATTCCCCATCACGATTTCTCTACAGATTTGTTGGAGAAGAATATAAAACAGGACCAAAGCAAATCATTTCTGAAACTAGGTACGCATAGACCTGCACAAGCCATACCGTTTGTTTCTAAATCAACACCAATAAATCCTACTGGAATAAATATGTTCATTACAGAGGACTTCCAAATGACGCCTATAAGGAAATATCACGTAGAAGAAAATCCGATACCAAATTTGGGATTGAGTCATTTAAATAGAAATGTTGAACTTTCTGATCTCAGTGATGTTGAAAGACCAACAAATGTTGAACGAAGATCTCGCATTTTTCAAGGCGAGGATTTCATGCAGACACCACTTACTAACGAAACGCAGTTAAGCGAAATGTTTCATACACCAATGAAGACAAGTTTCTTTAAAAGTACAATTTCTCAATCAGTCGGCGATGTCGTAACTCATGACAAGCCAGCTCTAGTCAAAGACCAGGACGAAGAAAATGAACCGACCAGATATTTGACCGAAGCACGTTTCGAAACACCATTATATAAATTTACGCCCAAGACACAGCTGCAACCTGTTTCTATTGAAGAAAACCATGATATGCTAGCAGCTCGCCAAAACACGCACGGGGAATCTTCTGAACGGGTTTCATCGTTTATGACAACACTCCACGGGTTTAGAGAGTCCTCAACTGAAAGGTTGGTTTTCGTGTAACTGAAATTTCTATAGAAAATGTTTTCGATTATGCTGTGGATATTTATTTCAGGAATTCATATCTTGATTAAAAAATCATGCTTAGCTTAAACAGAAGATAAACAAATTTTGTATAACTATATTTTTTATATGCAATTATCATTATGTAAACATAATAAGTAGCAAAACTTTGAATCACTGATTAAATTTAGCAATCATTTTATTACCACACGGTTCATATATATAAAATGACACGGTGCAGATGTACAGTGAATGGTTCTTCAATGTTTATTTTCCCAGGTTTTAATAACTGTTTCATGATTAGTTTATAACCGCTAGCTTAGTTGCAAGAACGCTTCGCTTACATGTATTCTCGAGTGAAGTAAAATTACATCATAATTATACAACAAATCTACCTCTTCACGTTAAGCACTTTCTCGGAAGAATTGTGACTATCTACAATAACAAACCGTTTTGTGGAATCACATTTCAAAGAATCTAAGTCCCCCAAAATAATGATTGAAAACATAGCAAAATACAGTAAACACAACAGGATAAAAGATCTCACTTGAATGCTACTTAATGTTTGATGTTTTGTAAGTCACTGAAATACTTTCTGTTTTCCAACAAATTTCTTTTTACAATATCAACCACATATTTTTTTTTAAGCTCAGTTCTTGTGCAAATCACAATCTAACCGAATACTTGGAAAAAAGAAAAAGAAAAATGTTCGTTTCGTCTTCTATTTTAGTAATAATCTGTGTTGTTTTTAGGTCTAAAATACGACACACGACGGAATCAGAGATGGCGTCTTTTCCAGAGACGGCCAAAATGCAAGATTCACCTAAAGAATCAGCTTCTCTCAGCGTAAATAATTCCTTCTTAAATAAAGTCCACATATAGCATTTGCCAAGGGTGTATAGATCTTTACACTTGTGTTGCATGTCAGCTACAATATATGAACCTACTAATTGCAAATGACGTTCATGTATAACTATAATTATTGGATTGCTGTTCTATCGATGTCGTTCCATGGTCAATATCAACACAACATATTGTCATTATTAGAAAATAGTGTGATTTCAACGGCACTTCATACCGCATGTCACTTAAAAAAACTGCTCAATGCTTATTTGTGTAGTAATCGACAGTGAAGTGTTGTAAATGCGAACACATTACGTTATTTTAATGTATAATTACTTCTAAAGCATGTATTGAAACGATTGATTTGGTCTCTTTCAGGTTTTTGACCACCGAGCCGAAAAAGATGAAGAAGTAGACAAAAAGTAGTAGTGAATGTGATATCTGTCTTTTATATTTATCGGGAAACATTCACTCATATTATGTCACAATCGATATATGTTTTCTTTTATGATAATCAAATTTCGTTTTTTTTTTATATTTACAAAATGGACCTTATTGTTCAAATAGTACAATAATATTCACAAATGTCTTTTTACGAATTAATCCAAATCCATGAAGAGAAATCTCTATCTTTTTATATATACATAACAAGTTTTATCTTTAGTTCTAGGCGGTTTATTTGTTTCTATGCCGTCTTTTTTTGAGTTTCGGGTTTATTTTATTTTTTGGCAAACCATCATTCATTGATTTGCATTGGCTACAGTAAAAAGATGGAACACGACTGTTCACTCTTTTGCATATAGTTTAACGAAATATAATGTCTTTTTGGGAAGATTAAAATTGTAATAGTCTGAAATCAAGTAAATCAGTGCTGCTGCATTTGATGTACAAGAAACAATAATATCGTTATGACTTTGGTTCACCAGACTGCATCTTCAAAGCCATCTTATATTCATCTCCATTGTAGGCAATACATGCGTGCTTTAGGAATCATATTTAGTACATGCATCCTCAGGAAGCATGCTTAACATGACGAACTACATTTTGTGGCTGATGTGCGCTATTGCGTGTCTCGTAACGAAATCAATAAAAATCGTCGTTTCATAGCAAAATAACAAAGGCAAATCGCTGTCAACTAACCGACATATTTCATCTGGCTTATCATCGTTATATCGCTGAAAAATAACGATGACCATCGTATTATATGTATTCCTAACACCACAGGCCAATTCCCGAATTCTGACAAAAATATCCTAGTAAGTAAGCAATGTCGATAAAATGTGAATTCTTGTCAATAATATAGATGTGTGTTTTGGAAAAAAATATCTGAAACAGAAAACGTAAATATATATTTTTGTTTGAGATCTGACTGAATGATTATGAAACGCAATTCAAAATATCTTTCCCTCTGGTTTGAATGAGTATCGTTCTAATCATGTCTGTCATAATTTTCCCGTTTGTGTTTGCATAACTATTGCGTCCTTCTTTGTCCAGTAGCACAACACATGGAAATGGAAATATGATGACGGAGATCTTGGATGAGGTATGATTGAGATTACATTAGGCGACTTTTAATTTGCATTTAAACTCTATTAAAATCGTTCTGCAATAATGACATGCATATTTATCGCATTTGTTTTTTTCATATCTGTCATTTCCAGATGCAAGAACTGGAGGAGCAAGACAAAATGGATGAATGGATGATGGCAGATGAATATGATAGCCCACACCAGGAAGGTAAACAACACTGTCGTGGATGTAATCATGTTCAATTACCCAAGACAGGTATACTATTATCCTGTTGACTTTTTGAGATGATTATTGATCGATAATAAAATATTGCTTTACAGCAAACATATTATCTACTTGATTTTACCATTTTTCAACAGACGTTATGTTGCATTTCAGAACCGTGCATAGATCAGATCGAAGAAGAGGAGGTCTGTATATTTACCTTTACAACACATTCAACATTAACTAAAAGAGTTATCTGAGCATAGAAACATTTCTGGTGTACTAATACCTGCTCTTACTCGTATAAAAACAAAATTAATGCGAATTCTTCTTGCACTTTTTTTTTATCATATTCTTGATGGGATAGGAAGTGCTATTTGTGAGGTTCAATTTTGGTCTAACATTGATATTATTGCCATGTACATGTACGTTTTACCACTAGTGTACACTGTTGCTATAAATTTTTCCTACCGTATATGAAATTATTCACGCGTGATGCCATTTTTATTTCATATTAACAAATTAACTTAAAGCTAGAAGTCTCCATGAAAGTGATTAAACAACAAGCTAGTCAGTTACTAGTTCTCTCTTAGTAAAGTTCTTAGTACATTTTATGCAATATATGAGCGAGATGAAAAGATGGAAGTAAGACTATAATATGCATATGAATATGCCAGTAAGTGGTGCAAAGGGGTTACTTGGGTAGTGAGTCTGTAATTCTTTCCATGACTAGGCCCAAAAATAAATTGATGCAAGTATCGCGTATTCGTCAAATTCAATTTTCTGCGATAAAGATTTTTTTTTTTATCTTGTTACTAATGCTGTCACATAAGTGTATATAAATATCAGTAAGTATTTAAAAATAGCAATGTATTTCACGCGATTTCCTTATCTCTGGAATATAGTGAAATCAGATACTCGCAAAACATACCTGATGTACAGTGCAGCTGAATGTATGTCATAGCGAAGTTAGTGATACAGTTTACATTAAGACTGATAAAGAGGCAATGGTAGCATTCATGATTTGACATATATTAAGCGGTATAACGTCAAAATGTAAATGTTGTTAGTTCTACCATAAACTAAACATTTGCTTTCTGCAGATTTTATTTCAGAGCGTAGAAGAGGTGAAGCAAGCGATGAACGATATATTGACCAGAGTGGTAGCTGACTGTAGTGATGACTTCGAATTTGATCATTATGACTCGCTCACGGACGTTCAGTGTTCTCAACAAATGGCTCAAAATCCTGAGGGTACAATAGAAGAATTGCATTATCAATGCTCAGATAAAAATATTTCACATCAAAGTGATTTCAACGAGATGACAACTTCAGAACTATCTGCAAATGACGGTGATGTCGTGGCGACTATCTGCGATGCGTCTACATCAACCGTCGACGTAGAAACGTGTGATAAAGGTACACAATATTCTCCAACAACATACAATGTGCCTCTACCTCTTGAAGAATTACTCTCTAGATCTCGGTGGCATCGACAGTTTTCTGTCAAACCAATTCAACAGGGATGTGAAAAAGGCGAGGAAGAAAAATCTAATTTGGAATCTGGAACGGCAACATCGGATGAAGTAGAAACTACGTACTGCTTAAGGTCTAGAAAAAAGGTCTAACTCTTTTCATATGTGTTTGATGATAACATTGTATGATTGAGCTTTATAAATGCTAATCAGATGGTAGTCAGTGGAAAATGAAGGCAATCAGTTTTCTTCATACCCGATTAATTTTCATTCTTAAATAGGAGTAGCCTCCCCTTTATCGCAATAACTGATTTAAAAAACAAATAGGAAATAAAAAAAGCAACAGACATAAAACAAATTAGATGCTTTATTCATTATCACAAAAATAATTCCACGTAACATTGAACGACAAGTATATTGTAACTAAATTATGATCACAAAATATTGCTGTTCTATTGGATAGTACAAACCACTGTATAACACACATGGACACTCACAATCTCATTTTATAATTCGCAGTTAATGTGAAGATTCAGAATTATCTAGCTTGTATGAAGTCGTATTTGAAATTAATGAATAATTGCTTTTCGCAAATTGTATAATTGTGATCTATCAAATAAACTGTCGTTATAATTTATTTGTGTAATGTGTTTTTATGGACAAACTATTGTTAAGTGTATTCATATAAAATTAATCACTTCTTTTTTACGGAAAATTATTTTGCAATTTCTAAATGATTTTTTTTTCTGTATCCTTGTATACGTCTGTATAAGCGAGCATTTGCTTTAAAAGGATAAATGGATTGGTTCTTCAGTCGGACCATATATTAGATTTCAAATGGCAACCACTTTCAACTTTTTACTTCTATGTATCTGCATGTTAACGGTTGAAATGCAAGAATAATACTTAATGACATGGTTACATATAAATGATTCATGACGTGCTTGGACACTAAATTATCGACAATCTAATGGAATTTCTGTACATTTGCACTTAATAGATCCTTATAAAATAAGCCTCAACTATAACATTAACATAAAATAAGTGAACACATAACTAACGGCTCTCACTTCATGCATTCATAGTCAATTTGAGTTTAACAGGTATTTGATAGTTTTTCAAAATATAAAAGAAGAGGTACCAGTTAGTATATCTAACTCTTTTTGTATATTTTGGCACATACATATCTAAGATACAACTGTTTTTTTTTTATTCGACATGAATACTTTTCTTTCTGTGGTGTTAACCATACGTTTGTATAGTTTCTAGACAGTCTGTGAATGTCATATTTTTGACTGTTCTGTTTCCTTCCCTTTGTATTTTTCAGTTTAATTCGCTGCGTTGCGCTGCATAAATTCCTTTTTTTTGAAATTTTAAAAGCTCTAATGTTTACATTTAAAGAAGTTTATATTGGCTTAGCACCATGATGCATTTATTCTAGTTCCAATGTATAACATATAATGAGACAAACCTCTCTGTAGACTTTTGACAGCAATGAGAAATTATGAGTATGATGAAAAACACCCATTAAATGGAACTAGTCTACTCCATAAACTAATATGACAATAAGAGTCAGAAGAGACCGCGGAACGACTAAAAAATGGGAGAATTAAAGGCTTAATTTGACATAGGGGATTTTCATGAAATAATACAAATGAATATCGCTGTCTGTAGCTATATCAACAAGTTGATAATTCTACTTACTTCATGTGAATTTTTGATTATATTTTTCATAAATAAAAACAATTTCTTCGTTCAAGCTTTTAGTGAAGTTTGTAAATAATAGTGGTTATATGTAAAATTCCATTGTCAACATATATATATATATCACTCTCAATGTAAAACACTGTTTGTAGTTTTGAACATAAATGCCGCTTACAACACAATTTGTAAGAGTACAAATAAATAAATGAATTGGAATTTCGGGAAAGAATATTTGTAATGACTAGAATCTAAATAAGAGGTTTTCATAGTTTTTTGTTTTCGTATTTCCCAAACATTTTGCGTAAATGCTTAATATTTTTGGTTATATTCTTAAGACTTAGGGTAACAAGATGAATATACAAAATATCTAAAATCTGTTCTTTAAAATATTCGAACTATTTATAAAATGTATATTATAAGTTTCCAGGCGGTCGACGTAAAGTCAAAATATATCACTCTATTAATATTTTTGTGTCACCATACCTTACCTTCTCTTTTTATTAAAATATTAGACTAATAGTGGAACATGACAACTTTGAAGGGCATTAGATTGCGTCTTAACATGGCACCTTATTCGTCTTAAGTTCATTAGGTATTCATTGATTGGAATTTGATACCAGCTAATGCAGATGAAGTATCCTGTAAAAGTATAACATTCAGAATAGATATTGCCTGAACATGATTGGTTCTATCTCTCTCTATTATCTATCTCAATCGCAAACTTAATATTCACGTTAAAGCAAAAACAACATACCCATATTTAAGTATTATTATTTTCGGCTTATGGCTATGCTCTTCTCACGTAAACAAAGTAATGATCTTCTCTCAACAAAATGTTACAAACACTGGTTTTAAAATCTACATAATAGTACAATCATACATTAAAGATTGATTCCAAACTGATTTTGTGACAATATTTCACTAGTTGGGAAAGAGCTACTTATTTTTCTAGTATAAAACAAGTACTAAACTTTTAATAGTATCAGCGAAAGAAATTCCAAATAATATTTCTAAATATAGAATATTGATAAAAAACAACCAGCTTTGGACATTTTGGATAAAAATAGACGGAGAAGTCATATGAAACATAAAGAAACTACATGTCTCTGACACACTAGCAACCTACTGTATGAAAATTTTGTAACGTACCAAAGCGCACATATTGTTTCATTTGCGATTTTGGTTCTGCTGGGAAGTTAATCAGTAATATTTAATGTACAATGAGAGGAAAACGATTGTAATAGTTTTACAAAATACCGAAAACCAGCGGGAATCCGTCTTTAAATTAAGCACAATGATAACTAGGGGGCAGGGGATATATGAGCCATTTCTGTACCAATAAAGTACATTTGCTAAAATCATTTATAGGAGATCATTGATTGACTATTATTCCATCAAAAGTATTGGCCTTTCATAAAGGACATTACCAGAGGATTGACATTAGTGACCGGCGTAAATAGTTTACTGCATTTTACTTTCCATCATTCAGGGGAATCTAATTCTGATTCTCGACCATCTCTATTAAGACCACGTATGTGCACATATTGAATTGTTTTTGTATTGTAGCTAATTGTTTGTCTACCGCTGCACCACGGTTGAGCAAAGAGACCTTCTACTTCTTCCAAACTCTTTCCCTTTGTCTCGGGCAGCAAAAAGCCTAATGTGACCACTCCTATCAACGCCATCCCCGCGTAAAGGCAAAACGTCCCTTTAAATAGAAGAAAAATAGCCGAAATATATCAAATGTGAACAACATAATATATTATGCAGTAATAAATTTGTAATCCTGATATAATTTGTAATTCCATGTACCTTTAATTGAAGGACTTGGCATTACTGGGATATGACATAAATTTACATGGAATCGTTTTCATTGTTATATTATTGAAGTTTACTCATGTTGTCAATACTGTGAAATCATAGTTATGTGTGACGTGGATAATCACCCATACAATCTGTCTTGCTGTAATGGGTTTGAAAAAACATGGTGGACGGGAAAAAGGATTAATCTTGTAATAAAAGATGGCATTGACGAAAAAAGTATCATGATCAATGTGAAGATATATCTACACCAGTTCTATAGAAACATTCGCAGGATAGCTCGTGTAAAAGTAGACTCTACTCGACCGCAACAGTTAAGCGATATGGAAAAATATGATCACAGAGACAAGAATAAAATCCGAGCTCATAATCGATATGAAAAGCAAAAACTGAATACTAAGAGACAGATACAACGAATACCACCAACAAGGAGTGCAAAGGTTTTCTACACCACACATGTGATGCACTTGAAAAAAGATCCGCGAATTCTGAGATAATACGTAATTAACGACGTTTTTGTTATACATGTATATAGTCATGCACGAGTAACATATCATTTCTATGCTTTTAGTTTTGATCTCACTTAATAACTTGTCTTGATGAATTATCAAGGCATAAGCCATATTATTTATGGAATATCCTAGTCATTAAAGTAAGCAAAATGTTTTAATGAAATCCAAAATCATGAAATTGGTAAGTGTAGAATGGAATATAGGTTACGATTAGAAATGCTGTTAAATTGGACAAGCAAAACTAGTTGTAGTTGATCAGAAATTCGACTTTGTCGGACGTGGGCTTTGTCGGACGTGGGTCAAAACAAGGACACACAAGACACTGCCTGGTGAGGCTATATAAGTGTATTGACAAAATGCTAGGATTATGTGAACGGCACATTATCTAATGATTCGTGACTAAGAGGTGTTATATATTTGTTCGGTACACTACACGCGTGTAATACTGATTATCGACAAATATGAATTAAAAAAATCATAACAATATCTTCAATATTTGAAAATAAAATTTAAAAAACCACATTTTCCCATTTGACCGCAATAATGACTTTGGAATCTGCTCACGGTTCTGAAATATCAGAAATATTTTCTGAAAAAGTGTGTGATGCTCCAGACAGAAAATTTGATTTCACATTTGAATCCAATTTGTACCTAAAGCACCGAAGTGGAGGTCACAAAATTACCTCGTGCTACAACTTAATATGTTTCATATGTTCTGGAAATTTAATGAAAGTATTTTGTCAGGAAGTTATGCTTAAAAAACAATACGTGAAATGCGGACAGACAATGCGTTACCATTTCGTAACATTATCATAAAACATAAGTTAAATCTCCGGTTTTTGAAAGTTTTCGTAACATAAAACAACAAATATCGTGCATGCTTGGTTCATAAAATGCACTAATCATTTCGAACACACATACGTGTACCTACCTTGTCGCGTTAAAGTTTCGGTAAGGCTTATAAAAGACATAGACACGGCAAGATTAAATATCCAGTTTGTAAAGGTCGACGCAGCATTACCAGTACTTCTTGCCCATAAAGGATATATTTCGGAATTTATTGTCCATGGCATGGGTCCCATACCTGTAATAGAGAATTGAAAACGAGATATAGAATACTATAATATGAAGTAAATCCAAGGGTACTATAATCATTATATAATTTTGTCAAGGAATAATGACATTTTCGACACATAAGACCCCTCTCCCACTCCATCTTTAATGGTTTTTTTATGCAATTGGTGTTTCCAATGTTTGTCTTACCAGGTGCAAAGAAAATGAGATAGAGAACTAATCCAGCCATCGGCATCCATGAATAGTCGGTGGGACAATAGTCATATGCCCAGGTGAGGTTGCCGGACAATGATGTTGTATTGCATCGACCAATTGTGGATTGCCAAGGGTCCTCGTAGTCGGTCGGTAAACACGAACTATTTGTTGGCCCTCTAATGTTGTCCAGATAGCAGTAACCGCACTCCAGTGCCCTCATACATTGATTACAGGTTCTACAAAATTAATAAATTAATTAATACGGAAATAGAAATAGAATTATTGGTGTTGTCTTAAATAGGCGAGTATATAAGCATTAGTGATGGCATAAGGAAAAACAATTCAGACATACTGATATGTTCAGTATATATCGAGCAGTTGGGACTGGCAGTCATATGAATATTAATGTTGATAGTGCAACATGTAGTTTTATGTATATATAAGTGATGAAAATAAGGTGATATTATGTTATTCCTCTTATTTAAATTTGTTGAGATATGTATATACTTAGTAATTGTTCCGTACGGTATGTCGTAATCAAGTATTTATATATGCTTAAAAAAAGTATACAGATTCATATATCAGAAACATGAAATATTTAGGTGCGACGGTTTGATTACAAGTAACATTTGTACTCGTTCATTTTTTGTAGACAAATTAGAAAAGGTACACACAGTTTCCTTCTCCGAAACAAAGCTACAGTTATCGCGAAACACTGATCCCGTTCACTTAAAGCACTATGCAATCAGAGAAAATAAATCGAGTAATGCATACCATTAGTTAATTCGAATACACAAGGTGTCAGAAAATCATTTTGGGAAACATATCACTTACGAAAGTGTTGAACAAGGAGAACTCGCCGATATACTTTCTATATTTGTCACTGGTGGTGTGTAGATGGCCGAGAGGTGGAAACCAATTGCCAGCCATGCCAGACTTATAACAGCACCTGAAAGGAAAATCATAATGGTGTTATAGGCAAGGATAAAGAAAATCAAGATTTCGTGTATGATCCCAATGTACCACTTTTTCTTTATCACGTATCACATACTTTATTAAATTGTTAAAGGTCTTCAAAATAAAAATACTTTAGTTGTGGCATACATGCAATGCATACTCATCAATGTCACACACAAAAAAATGGTTCGTCGTTTATCAATTAAATACTGAAACATATTTGGTGCAATCACGACAATTTCAAGTTGTTTAATAAGTAACTATAACGCCCTCCATATTTTCGAAAAAAATAACAACGAACTTAAGACTCGCATACGCATATGCATGAAATTGCAGTTGAACAAGATAAACCAGATACAACGTCATATCCAACCAACTGCTTCTATCGAAGTGATTTTCGCAAAGTTTTGGTTCTTTGTAATAGGATACCACTTTGCCGTTCATAACGTTTCTCCTATTTTTAAACATCTTAGAAAAGCAACTTACTGAAGAAACTTTTCGCGATTATTTATGGTTAGGTAATGTGAGATTTATTATGCTTCAGTATGAAAAATATGCACTTTTGATAGAAGGTCATACATATTTAGAATATGTAATAATATTTGCGAAAGTTATTCAATGGAGAGATCATATCCAATTAAATCTTTCAAGATTTCAAAAAACAAAAACGGTTTTTAGTTTTATCCTGAAGGAGGATTATGCCACCCTGTTTAAATTCTAGCCGCTTCCTATTGGCTCGGCTAGAGATAATTTCTCTTAATCTCATTCTGTAGAGCGTAAAGAATAGTAAACCATAGGTCCAGGGTAAGACTCCTAGCGGAGGCATTGGAAAAAATAAGGACCTCCGATGGAAAAACAACACCATCTCGAATAATTCAAATAAAGAAAATATCAATAAGTTATATTCTTCAACTATTAAAACGAATGAGGATGGAAATGAAATTGTAAGTTGCGATTAAATTGTCATGTAAATTGTTATGCACCAACGATTCAGTGATTCTTAACTGTTCGTTACAGTTATCGAGGTTATTCCAAAACCACTTTAAAACGTTGAAAAGCTCTTAGAAATACAGTTTTTGTAAGCATTAGTCGTCAACTAAACAGGTTGTCTGCAGACAGAAAGGTCATGTGGTCTCAAACAACGTCATCATATATACAACAACACATCGCCAGACCCAAATAGGCGTAAACTTTCTCACCTATGAGACTGCCAAGTGTAAGAGCACGTCTTCCTATTTTTTCCACCAAGTATAAACCAAGAATTGTAAACATAAAATTAACGAAAGACGTCACAGCAGAAAGCCAGATAGCTGTCTCGTCTCCTTTTACCCCAGACATCCGTATAATTGTTGCACTGTAATACCTGTTCATAGATATAAAAAAAATAAACATTTTTATAGCTCTGCCACTCTAGTCTATCCTTAATGATGCAATATAATTTTTCTCGACACCGACAATCAAGAGAATTCTTAATAGAATTTACTATTTAGAAAACGATTATTGTTTTGTTCGTCAATCGACGTTGCTTTATCATTACAAAAAGTAGGCACCGACGACGTGCCTCTGTCTTGATGATATCTAGAATTGATCAAATACTTAGCACGGTGTTTCATCCCGACACACATTGTTATCTTAATTGTAATGAAACAGAATTCACGAAATTGCCCATTGACTGATGACGTAATGTTATTGGACATGATCTATATGGCGAACAGTTCAAATAAAATAAGATCAGGAACATGGAATTGAACTCTGGAAGGTGTTAATGGTATGTTTCTCTAACAGGGTTTCTCTGATACGTACATCACTGTATTGATTCCAGCAACCTGCTGAAACATTTGTAAACTGCACCCCACGATCAGAGCCCGTCGGATAGAAGGTGTTTGTATCATCTGGATAATGATAGGCATCTTTGCTGGAAGAAAGATGTTTACTATTATTATTTATCGCCCCGGGGAATTCGTTAAATCCAAATTGACGTTATAAAACCTTTAGCTTGCATAAAACGTATTATTTCAGATTCAAATTTGAGCTCAATATTGGGAAATGTCTGCATTTTTGCAGACAATGTATCATTTGTTTGAATTTGATTGAAGGTTGAGACTTTATATCAATTTCTTGGTACATTACGGGGTCTTTTATGACAGTGACGCCAGACGCAGCTGGTATTCTCCTGTCACACGAATGCACCTCCGTAGCTATGTCAATAGTAATTGCCAGAACTTAAGTACACGCCAGGGGAAGCTATATATTGATAAAGGCAATAACACGGAGCTAGCAATTTATGAATGGTTGTATGTAAATTCTTCCTCCCTATTATAACGATACAAATGTGGACATACAGTTTTATTGCCTCTGTGTAAATATCAAACATGAACATGAACAGATGGCGATCAATGTAGTAAATTCATTATAGCTAGAAATCGATATGTCAACAAACAATATTACCTATCTCTAGTGCTGTAATTATAGAAATGTTTCATATCAAATTGCGGTTTCTCACTGATTTACAATACGATTAAAAGGTTCATTGCTTTGGTGTAAAGAAGATCGACTTTGACATTTCGATTAAGCATCTATATATATATGTCTGTCTGTCTGAATTAAACAATATGAAATGGTAATCCATAGGACCATTTTGAAATACGTTGCTGTCTATTGATTAAAACAACCTACCGCGTGACACACAACAAAGAATAGTTTGTTTGCTACAAAAATAGTGTTAAACTTTCTTACATTCATAGATCTTTATATTGTTTTTGATTCCATCGATTTTTTTTTATTAATAATAAAAAGCATCTCTGGGGTGGTGACTGTGGTTGTTATAACACCAAACGAGAGAAACAATATTGGCACATATTTTCGTTTTTGGTTGATATAATCATGGATCAACCTCATTGTATGATATATGTAGTAGATCGTATAAATTAGGTCTTGTAGGTAATTTCGTCATTACGTATTATACATCTATATATGTATATATAGGTTTCATTTTGTTGAAGAATTTGTTTTTGCTAAAATATTTATTTTGTTGCATTTTTGTTCCAAAAAAGATTAATTCACTGCAAATGTTTCAGTAAATTTATTTCATTCTCACTATTATATCTAATATGTCATGTCATCTAATGGCATGATATGTAATATAGTCAATATCACTGCTATGATATTTATCAATTATTGACTTTTGTCTCGATCAATACATTGTGATATGTGACCTGATATAAGTAATATCGTCCTATCAGGTCCATATAAACGTATTGACCTCGACAAAAGTCCATAATTGATAAATATTATAGCTATGCTACTGACTATATTCTATATCGTACTTCTTAACAGTTTTATGTGAATGAATATTTAATATGCACTAATAATTTTAAGGCAATATTGTTACAATCACCAAATTAAAAAAACAAAACATTAAAACGTTTTCTTATTTTACTATCAATAGTGTTTTCATATTCAAGACTAAAATGGATGTACTGATTAACATTACAAATAAAAATGGTGCTTGCTTCTTTTGGATATACGCGTCTACAGTGAAAGCAAACTAAGGGGAATGTTTTACTGCGTAAATCTTTCTATAAATCAATACTGTATATTACTCCTGGTACTGTTAATAAAGACAGGACTATATTGATGTAAACTAACGAGCTGTTCAAATCCTGCCTACATCGTTTCTGTTCCTCCACTTCCGTTTCCATACAGCTGTTTTTGACCGAGTCGTACTCTTCTTCAATGTCCAATTGTCCCCTCATTGTCTGCAGTACTCGCCGAGCCCGTTCGTCCTTGTGGTTGATAATGAGCCATCGAGGACTTTCGGGCATCATTATAAAACCCAGGAACTGTACGAATGAAGGAATACCGGCAAGGCCCAGCATATACCTATCGTAAACACAAATAAAAGATATATACCTATCGTAAATACAAATAGAAGATATATACCTATCGTAAATACAAATAGAAGGTATATACCTATCGTAAACACAAATAAAAGATATATACCTATCGTAAATACAAATAGTAAGTATATACCTATCGTAAATCAAATAGCATATATGAATCTATCGTAAATACAAATAGAAGGTATATACCTATCGTAAATCAAATAGTATATATGAATCTATCGTAAATACAAATCGAAAAATATACCTATTGTAAATACAGATAGAAGAAATACACCTATTGTAAATACAAATAGAAGATTATAACTATCGTAAATACAAATAGAAGAAATAAACCTTTTGTTAATACAAATAGAAGAAATACACCTATTGTAAATACAAATATAAGATTATAACTATCGTAAATACAAATAGAAGAAATAAACCTATTGTAAATCAAATAGTATATATGAATCTATCGTAAATACAAATAGAAGATATATACCTATCGTAAATACAAATAGAAGATAAATACTTATTTTAAATACAAATAGAAGATATATACCTATTGTAAATGCACATAGAAGAAATATACCTATCGTAAATACAAATAGAAGGTATATACCTATCGTAAATACAAATAGAAGAAATATAACTTTTGTAAATACAAATAAAAGAAATACATCTATTGTAAATACAAATAGAAGATTATAACTATCGTAAATACAAATAGAAGAAATATACCTTTTGCAAACACAAATAGAAGATTATAACTTTCGTAAATACAAATAAAAGATTATAACTATCGTAAATACAAATAGAAGATTATAACTATCGTAAATAAAAATAGAAGATACATACTTATAGTAAAATACAAACAGGAAATATATACTATGGCTTATACAAGCAAGGAGTAACATTAAACCTAAAACATGGGGAATTTTGATTCAGTTCTAACGATGTTTTTATCTACTCTATGGAATAATGTAGGACATTCCGTATGAAGTGATAAGAATCTGGATTTCGACTATCAGGAAAAGGAGCTAATTACACAAATAGTGAAACATGTTCCCTCAATTACCAGTAAAATAAATCAATATTCTGTGTGGTTTCTGTACAACGTTGATTGCATTGTTCATGTGTGCATAGATTGTTAGAACTACTCTGCATACCTCCATCCAGTCGTTTCGTCCCATCCGAAAATACCATCGATAACGTTTGCTACGAACTGTCCACACGCAACCATGGCGATGTTTGTTGACACAAGCCGACCTCGAATATGTGCGGGAGAACATTCTGCCAAGTACATGGGTATTGTTGTTGAAGTCATGCCTGGAATATAGCAACAAGTAAACGGAAATTTAGTTTATGCTTTATGAATACGTATTAGTTAGAAATAATACATTTTCATGGGACCCAAATTTCGTGGTTTCCCGACAAAACACCATTTCGGGGGAACATAAATTCGTGGATTACGAGTACACACTCTAATGGACAATTGCTTTATATCAAACTTTTAATTACTTCGTTGACCTATATTCGTGGAGGAAGATATCCACGAAATCAATGAAACTATAACCCTATGAAAATAAGTTATATCACAGTTTTTGAATTTAGTTTTACTTTCGCACTAAATAAACTCTGGTAACCGACATTTCATAGTTGAATAAGCGTGGATGAATTTTACACTCGTCTTATTCAATTATTAGGAGATATATGTAGAGTACGGCTTAAATATTGACAAGATCATTAAATAAGCATATTAATGTCCTTATAAATGTATTGTCCTTCGTGTCTAACGTTTAAAAAACCCATTAAATTTGTGTATTTAGTACCATTATTATTGGTAAGCGGCGTTAACATAACCAGTTATTTGCCCTTTCAGAACGTCATTTAGAAAAGTGAAGTTTATTACAAGAAATCTTCAAATCCAAAAACTACAAAAAAAATTAAAAAAATCTGGTATGTTAAACCGATAAATGTAACGAAACTATCAATCACGTAGCCAACATAACATTTATGTGTATCAAATGATCAAAGTGTAACATAGACGCAATGACAAGAATTCTGTGATCCTGATCTACAACTTGAGAAAGAGGCAGATATATCCAACACCAACTATGATCTGAAATTGAAGCGTCGCAGCAGGAAAACAAATAGGATTTTGAAAGCATTTATTCATTTGTAGATTCGGTGTATTACAAACAACCCCAGATGAAATAAAATGCAATTTCTTCTGAATCGGCTTTGACTCAGCGGATTTTAGCCTAGACACCAATTTATTTGAGATATTGCCGATGTCAACCTGAGCTCTACCAGACTCTAGTAATCCTCCCCACCTTTTAAGGCTCAGCGGCCTTAACAACTGTCATTAAGAGTGTTCGTGGTATTACAACAAGGGCCGGCTGATATGTCTGTGAGAGCGTCTCCTATCTTTGATAATGTTCCAATAAACGTTATCCTTTTTCTTGAGAACATGGAGACTGGGTTTTCCGTTTTGTCTGTAAGAGACAATCAATGTAAAGAATTTTCATATGCTTTGATAAAAAATTTGAATGTTCATACCTCTGTTCAGACACAGTTTCCATCCAGTTATTTGGCATTATTAAAAATATATCATTTTAGCACTTTAAATGGAAGAAAAATCCATGCAGATAATTTTTTCAAACTGCATTTTGTTAAGAAGAAAAAAAACCAAACAACACAATATTGTGTATACCATTCCTGCAAGAACAATGGCTTTCATTGTGCTTAGTTATTTCAATGCGCATTATAATTACTTGCATATCGAAGAATGTCTCGGACATATTTCCCTAGTGTATGAAAAAAAGACTTTTTGATCGATTACTAGCAGACCCGTATAATTAAACGGGATGGATTTACTGGGTTTATTTTCCCCGTCCTATGCAACGGAAAGACGCAGGGAAATTACGTTCCGACCTCCGTTCTACGACCCATGTCAGAGCACGTTCTTCTGTGTGCTTAGTCAGCAACACACAGACGTCTGACGGGGTAGCAACTGTTTCGTAAACAAATCAAGCATAAAGACCAGCTGAGGCGTTCTGTCTGAATGACAACCTCTTGACCTGCTCCCAGACAATGCTACTTGAAAAAGGCCATACAAAATAATTGGGATATCAAGACTCTAATTCAATTCGTGTTATATTCCTTTTCAATAGCTATACGAATAAAACCGAGAATTTGTGTGATAGCAATGATTCATTGGGAAATATGGCACAATCTGTTGACGAAGATAAAATAGTTTATGCTCATTCAACACCATATCAGTAACACAGATGACGTTCCAACAACAACAATGACATCCCCAGGAAACCGGTACGAATTACATGTAATATGTTATTAGATTTTCAAGAAAAAACAACTTCAGAAGTGTGAAAAAGAACCGTACCTGAAATTCAAAATCGTCGAAAGTAGGGTACATTTTGAACAAAGGAAAGATTTTACACAGAGTCCCTTAAAAATGTTTAGCGAGGATGAGACTAGGTGTTTCTGAAGGGCGTGCGTCTTCTGCTTTATCGACAACAGCCGTCATGTAATCTTGGTCACCCGAGGAAAACACTAACTAAATACGATCTTAGAATAACCAACATAATATTAATATAATGATATCATATTAATAAAATAATGTTATATACTACCAAGTGCATAATTAAACGTATGGTAGCTTTGATTTTAGATATACAACAGAAAGACATGCAAGCTATACCTATAGGGAAACAATGAACTGTTGTTAAAACTATTGATGAAGGTATATATATGGTCTGCGCCTCATAAAATTCGTTCAAATTACGAATTTAAGTCAACGATAATGTTTTCATCTACCTGATACATTATTAACATCAATAACAGAAGCAGTTAACATATGGATCTGGAATTATTTATAAATTGTATCATTTCAGTTAATGACAGGTATTATTCGATGCCTAACGTTTGAAGATGAAGTAATGAGACAGAACATGCAATATTGCCATACAAAGACATCGTTTATCTCCATGTTTACTCTTTAAAGGAAACAACAAAGACTCTAATATTAGAACTCTTTATATTGCGTATAGATCCTCTAAACATTTAAAAACAGTTCTGCTTGTCGATGTTTGTAGTCTTCGCGGTTTGCCGTAGCCTTTGTCTCTTTTTAAGTTGTAACACAGTTTATGATATATACTTTACTCATTATTGGTTTGAAACTCACCAGTACCAATTTTGAAATTCATATAATTAAGAGGTTTTACGCTACCCTCTCCCTCCTGTTTGTTTTTTTGTGTAGTAAAAACCAATTTGGCTTTCCAACATTTATGGCCCCATGCATCACCGATAAGTCCGGACGACATAGCTGTATGATGCAGTGTTATTCAATTTTTGTATGCAATATATGTTGCCAAATACTAAAGGTGCGATCCTATGTGTATGTCCTGCGATTTTCCTTTAATAACAAAATCACAAAATATTAATGTTCTCATTAAACTCAAGGCCGAAAGTAATCACGTCAATCTTAAGTATTTATTAAGTCTGGTACTCAATACCTTCAGTATGTGTTAATGTAGGAGAAGAAGAATTCTGACATAGTATTTGATCAGAGCGCAGTGTTGCTGAAAAAACTGCTTGAGAATTCCAGATTCAATTAAACGAAATAGCGCTTTAACCAAAAATCAAGTGCGAGTATCACATAAGAAAGTACACCTCATGAAAGCTTCAAAGAAAGAAATGTCATCTCCGGTTAATGAATAGTTTCATTAACCTTATTTCATCAACCCTCGATAAAAGATTACAATTCAACATTTGTACAGTAGCGATGTGAATCACTGAAATGCCATGACTACTGCAATCGATAAGAAAACTGAACTATTCCCTGCTTGCTTAACAAAGCTTAACACAAACATCATTATCAAGGTAAATTGATGGTTTGAAATTGTTAAAACAACAAAGAAACACAAAGCATGCATCATATCGTTTTTGTGAAATGGTTATAAAAACACATTCACTATCTTATGAAAAGGTTTCCTTTAAAATTACATTAACGACACAAACACTAGAACAGATAATTATATTTGTGTCTTTTATTATGTATAATCGAACTGGTTTACATAAAAAAATGGTATATCATCATATTCCCATCCCAGTAGACTGTGTCGTTTAAAGCATCTGACAACGTTTGAACTCGCGACGTGCTGGTAGACATGGGTCCAAATCCCTGAGGACTTTCAAACGGAGTTTTAAAATAATTGTATCGATACCGTTGATCTTCGGACAGTTCATGATACGGTTCATTAGAAAAGTGAAGTTTCTTACAACAAATCTTCAAATCCAAAAACTACAAATAAAAAAAAAGATCTGGTATGTTAAACCGATAAATGTAACGAAACTATCAATCACGTAGCCAACATAACATTTATGTGTATCAAATGATCAAAGTGTAACATAGACGCAATGACAAGAATTATGTGATCCTGATCTACAACTTGAGAAAGAGGCAGATATACATCACCAACTATGATCTGAAATTGAAGCCACGCAGCAGGAAAACAAATAGGATTTTGAAAGCATTTATTCATTTGTAGATTCGGTGTATTACAAACAACCCCAGATGAAATAAAATGCAATTTCTTCTGAATCGGCTTTGAGTCAGCGGATTTTAGCCTAGACACCAATTTATTTGAGATATTGCCGATGTCAACCTGAGCTCTACCAGACTCTAGTTATCCTCCCCACCTTTTAAGGCTCAGCGGCCTTAACAACTGTCATTAAGAGTGTTCGTGGTATTACAACAAGGGCCGGCTGATATGTCAGTGAGAGCGTCTCCTATCTTTGATAATGTTCCAATAAACGTTATCCTTTTTCTTGAGAACATTGAGACTGGGTTTTCCGTTTTGTCTGTAAGAGACAATCAATGTAAAGAATTTTCATATGCTTTGATAAAAAATCTGAATGTTCATACCTCTGTTCAGACACAGTTTCCATCCAGTTATTTGGTATTATTAAAAATATATCAGTTTAGCACTATAAATGGAAGAAAAATCCATGCAGATAATTATTTCAAACTGCATTTTGTTAAGAAGAAAAAACACCCAACAACACAATATTGTGTATACCATTCCTGCAAGAACAATGGCTTTCATTGTGCTTAGTTATTTCAATGCGCATTATAATTACTTGCATATCGAAGAATGTCTCGGACATAATTCCCTAGTGTATGAAAAATAGACTTTTTGATCGATTACTAGCAGACCCGTATAATTAAACGGGATGGATTTACTGGGTTTATTTTCCCCGTCCTATGCAACGGAAAGACGCAGGGAAATTACGTTCCAACCTCC